ATGTATGCACACATATATGACATGCGTGAGATATATACATATATATATATATATATATTTAGTTGTACCAATATGTGTATGTCTACTATATATAAATATATATGAACACATATATATATATATATATAGGCACGCAGTGTATGTGCATATATGGCACATATATGTATATATGTATATATGTATGTATATATATATATATATGCATGCGTATGTGTGTACACGTGTACAGGGACGATCGCAAGATCTTGTCAAGTTTGTGCAAAGGCAAACAGAAAACGCGAGCTGGGAGTGCTCGAACAATATGCGAATATACACGCTTATGCACGTATGTATGTATAGGCCTGGCTGCATATGTATGATATTATATTAACCTGCACACATTGAGTGTGTGTGTGTGCCTTGCATCTGTGTCTAACTTTCGATATATATATATATATATATGACAACAAAGATATATGGACTAAAGTCACATCGGTAGATAGGCTTATAAGGGAGCATATCTATAGATAATAAACCCCAGATCCCGAAACCACGAAACTGCGAGACCCCTGTACCTGGGGACATAAAAGCTAACACTTCCCAAAACCTTAAACACACCCGAAGCCCGGCAGACCCAAGAATCTTCAAAAGCCTATTATAAACCGTACAACGCCATATATACCACCCCCAGATTTTGCCTTAAACCCTCACCCTAGGCATAAACCTTAAACGCTAAAAGCCCTCAACCCTAAAAAACCCAAAAGCTGGATCCTCGATCCTCGAAGTGCGGGCCGCTGTTCGAGCTGGAAGCTCAGCTTTTCTTCCGTGCGCCACGAACGCTTCACTGACAACAAGAAACGCTCAAGCAACCTTTTCGGAGCTGTACGACCATCCGTCATCCTGAGGGTCTTCATCAATCGTTTAAGCCCGTCCTCATCCATCCAAGTCGAAAACCGCGTTACGTTTGTTCGGCTGGGCACTGCAGATCGAAATATGTGGCATAAAAGGTGCAATTTCGGCCTCAATCGGAAGAGCCGCTCTTGGCGTTGTAAACATTCGTGAGCCATGGTAACATAAGCTCGCAAAAAAAGCTGCCCAAAGTGATGCTGACAACTTTCAATCGTGATTGATTAGTCTTTATTCTTGCCCAAAAACCTTTTGAAAATTTTGGGTGCGAAAATTTTCTGTCTGCATGTCAATCGTTGTTTCGCCATACACTTTGTTCCCACGAAGCCTTCTTGGCTGAGGTGGGAGGTGGGAAATCCTAGCAACTTTCAAGGCCATATGGCTTGGTTTTGTTTTGCAGTATCGTCGTAAAAGATTGCCCGAGCGCGAGTGTTTGCACCATATTCATATGCAAAGATATTTGATTGACTTCCCGGCGATTCAATATATACTTTTATGATTTCACATATTGATGTGAATAGCTCCGTTGCGATTTGATTGACATGCGCGGTTTTTGGGAACAAGAATAATGTTCCTCTCCTCGTCGATGGTGAGATAGCGACCTGCGGCATGCAGCATGCTCATGAGATGTGTGGCACACCACATAGCCACACAAAGGTCTGCAGGCAGCACGGCACTGTGGCGAGAGCACAAGTCTTGAAGCCATTCCAAAACGACATAAGTGTCGTACCCGGAACTCTTCAGTTCTGGATAAGACAGCTTGTTCTTCATACCAAGTTTGCTTTTGCTCAGCTTGTGCATCTTCAAAGGTAGCTTTCTTGACCTGGCAAAAGCCTTAAGCTTGACAGTGGCATCTGCAAATCGATCTGTGATGTTGGAGCCAACGAAAATACCAGGACATTCTGCTTTGCGTTTTACGATGTATACAATCACTGAGGCCGCTAAGTCACGGCCTGTTCCCAGGTGCCAACAATGTAGCAAGTCCGGCTGAATGTACTGGACTTTGAAGCCTGACAGTGAAGCGTAAGCAGGCTCGTAGTTCCATGGAAGATCGCGAAACATCGTGTCCCAATAAGCAGCATCAGGGTTGATGTTTGTAAATGCCATAGGAGTTGTTGCAGCCTCCAGTCCTTTGGCCGCTCGGCACATCCAGCATATCTGCAGGGAACACTCCACAAAACCGACAACCTTTACCCGAAACTATCCCTAGATTTCTAAATCCAAAGCCTTTCACGTAATGAGGGTCTGTACTTGGCTTTCGAACTGGGCCCTACAGGTAGACAGGGCTTGGGGTGGACGGTTTTGTGGTTTAGGGAATCGTAGCTACTGCAATCGACGGTATACAGGTATCTTAAGTTAATGGGCTATCTCCCTCGCAACCGATTATATAGGCGGGATACATGTATACATATATAGATAGATATTTATAAATATATATATATATATATATATATGTATATACGTATATATATATATATATATATATATATATATATATATGTATCCCGCCTATATATTCGGTTGCGTATAACCTCCGAATCACCTGACGTAACAATCCCCGACCTCGTCTCGGTCAGCATACCGACTGAAGCAGAAAACCTGGTGTAAGGCCTTCCAGTCTCCACGGAACGCCGTGATGAAGGCGTGGAGTCTCAGAACCTGGGATCGAGTCTTTGGGGTCATTATGATATATGGGGTTTTGCATTATCTATGATAAGGATCTATACAATAAAAAATGATACTTAGGAAGTTTGCCGCGGGACCTCACTTTTGGAGCTGGGGTCTGCAATTGGGATGCCAATTTGAGAGAGTCTGTTGAAACTGGCAGTAATGGCTTGGCAGGCTGCTTGAATTGTGAGATTTACGCTACTGTGTGGATCAATGATGTAGCGTTCAGCTGGTATGATCGCCATAACCATTCGGGATGCAGAGGCATTCGTCAAAAATGGAGAGAGCTCTGACGTAAACACCAGAAAAAGCCAGAGTGAATTTATAGCTCTGGCCTCATCACCTTAGAACCATGACTCCAGAATTACGCTTCCGAAGCATTAGTAGAAAAGCTTATCTAGATGGCAACCAAACGAACATCCTGATATATGGACGAGTGTCAATATAGTGTACAGCCAATTGAGGAATTGCATAAGCTTGCATCGCCGGCTACAGGATGTTCAGGGTGGTCTAGCAAAAACTTTGACCAAAACCGCGGGAGCTCGCCGAGGTCCGCCACCAAGCTGTGGAGGTGTCCAGCAGCTACGATGGCTTCCATCTCGGAGGGGATTCGGAATTAGGCCGTTTCTTAATTACTAGGTTGGGCTTTCTATAGGACATAATATTATACGAGCCCTTTTGTGTAACCGAGACTCCATATCGTAAGGCAAAATAAAGGGCCAGTCTTCCCAGACCACGTTGCCGTCATCAGCTGAAACCCTCAGGGGCAGTTTCACGTAGGAAATCCGCGCGGGTAGGGCAATATCCAGATCTTGGGCTCGGGAATGAACACCGCTCTCCTTAAGATTCCTTGGTATGTTCAAAGTAAAGCAGAAGCTGCAAGGCCGGGTACAAGTATAAAATGGCAGGGAACCAAATATATATAGTTAGTTAGATTATTTATAGACTCGCCAATAGATAACCCTGAACCCTACCTAGGTAAGTAAATAGAAACCTGCGTAATTATATTCCATACGTACATACACATGTACATATGTGAAGGTTTGTGTATATATATATATATACATATCCACGTATATATATATATATATATACACACACATAGCTACATTTTTGCACTGATGTATGTATATATATATATACATGTGTATATATATATATATGTTGCAGGTAAACAGTATATATGTATATATATATATATACGTATCTAGCATGTACACATCTATCTACATATATATGTATGTCTGCATATATATATATGTATATATGCTTATATATATATATATATGTACGCATGCATATATGTATGTATGTTTCGAACAGAGGCAAGGATCTGCAGCAAGTCAGAATCATAGATGTCGCCCATAGTCCCCGCATGCTTGATGGAGGTGTACCCACGACCGATGCTCTCGGCGACCCTTAGGTTTCAGTCGATCATACATAACTTATGTAGTTATTCAGGGGGAAAGAAAATGCCAGCGAGTTGCGCTGCATCAAGTTCTGATCGCATGCGTCGAATCTCATCCACATTTGCACCACCTGCGTGGGGGAATATTTCAGCTAGTGTGCTTTAATGCCAGAGCGTAGAGTCTACAAACGCACACTTAAAGACTTGCAACTGTTTCTTCACCTGCGCGAGATGTAGCACATGCAGACCTAACCTCACCTCTAGAGCACAGCATATGTCTTGCCGACACGGTGGGGATGTCTGCACATCTACGATTGAATGGATGCATTGCTGAACGGTGCAATCGGCATCCGCGTACCCTACCCATCAAAAGCATCCAGGTCGAAGGCCCACTGCAGTACCTTAAGCTGTTTGATGAACCCGAATCTCCTCCAGCACTACATATAAAACCTAAACTAATTACACCGACTATTACATATAGAGGTTTCTTATATACAATAGACACATTATGCAGCAGTGTTCCTTTGAATTAACAGTTCATTTCTTATGTTGCTTTTCTCTCTAAGTCCTTTCCTATTGTTTGGACCGAGAAGAAAATCTTAATTGAGGACTGTGCTATATTGAAACTGAGTTAGGCCTGGGGCGACGGTTTCGGGGCCTGCGTATCTGGGGTGTCGGGCTGGGTTCGACTATATAAGTTTAGGTTTAAGGCTTAGATTTCGATCCTGATATATAACTCTATGTATGCGAAACCTCTAACCCCGTGAACCCGAGTAAGCTCCAAATCAGGCCCCGTGCGTACAATTACCTGTTGTGTAATTATATGGGGAGACGTATATATATAAACAGGTAATTGTACGCACGGGGCCTGATTTGGATCCGGGGAAATCGAAGCTAGCATTCTAAGTTCATAATTACCAACGTCCCATCGAGTATATGCTGGATCGAAGCAACGGCTTATTTCTAGTGGTATGTACCTGTACTTCGATCCTGGACTAGAGCCTCAAAAACTCAGCTCCAGAGCGCTCAGGCCCGGCGATCAGCTGTTGCCCTTCTTGATCTCGGTGGCCACGGCTCGTGCTTGTACACGGGTGAGCTTCGCCTCTTCGACCTTTTGGACGGGCAGAGTACTTAAACTATATTTCGCATATGCTCGGGGCTTTGCATTCGGATTAAGGATACGATTTCACATGTTTGCTAAATTCCCAAACTGCCTGACTTTCGATCTCAGCAAGCATCTCCTTCTGATCTTCTTCATCGAGATCGTCGTACTCCTTGATCCTCGGGGATTAGGTTTAATTGGGTACATGGTAGGAATATATTGAACGACACTACGAAGCAGAGCGAGCTACAAGAGTAATCCCATGCTAAGAAACCTTTCGAGTGATTCTTTCAGCTCGCTTTCGTGGTTGGCCATCTTCTTACGTAGGTCGTGGCCTTTGGGGAGGTCCAAGGCGATGTTGCCCGCCTGCAGCTCCTTCTTGATCTCTTTGCCTCAGATTCATAGATCGGTTTGTTTTTGCATGAAGGTATCGAAAACATAGCAATATCGCACACTCGATATAGACACGGAACGTACATCATCCGCCATCTCCTTCGGAGTTTTGGCGGCGACATGCCTGCTCTTGGATTTCGCCTTGCCCTTGGCCGAAGCACGACTGACAACGGATCCTCCATTGCCTCGGATACATCGAAACATTCTAGGTCATATAATCAATTAACACATTGTATAATTAACTGATATCGAGATCGAGTGACCCGAAGCTTTCAGATCTTTGATGAGCTGCAGAGACTCGTCTCTGCCCTTGTTTACCAAAGTACTGGCATCCTTCGATACGGGCGCTACACCTTGGTTCATGAACATAGCATTGGCCACCTCGGGGGTAGCTTGGAAGGAGGTTTTGGTCTGCAGGCTTTGCTTGGTAGTGTCGCTCTCGGTCTGCACCATTTTCGTCTTGGTCCAATAACGGGTGGATTCTGGGTCGTCGGGGCAGTCTTCGTCAGGGACACCATTTCCAGGCTTCCGGACGGCAGCCTCAATCTTGGCCCTTAGTTTAAGATTTGCACAATCATTCATAGAAGCATGCACCCCATGCATGAGTATTACAATACCATAGAATTGCTCGGTGCCGCGCGAACTGAAGTTTCGCTGGACCATCTCCAAGATAGTCAAGCATTCCCACTCCCTCTTGCCCTTGAATTCCTTCTCTCGAAGAAACAACATGTGGGACTCCGTGTCCTGGTAGTTTCTGTTCTTGGACAACCAGTCCCGAAACACCTTTAGCTTGTCCTTAGATCCACAGGACTTTTTCTTTATGTGCATACGTATATCTATGAAACACACAGCTGCATTGCCAATCTAGCGAATCTAACGGGATTGCAAACGAGGGCGCATCTCTTGATGAGCTCCACAGAACCATGATTTCGGGAAACTTGGTGGCTGCATCTGGGGCTTCCATTCTTCTCCCGAAAGACATCCACTCGGCCCTGTGGGTACTGGAGTTGGCATTGGCAAACGGAGTTTCCTTGGCCTCGGGGGCAGCTGGGGTTGGCTTTTCTCCATGGTTGGGCTTGGGCGGCGGGGTTTTGATCGAAGATGCTGCCTCACCATCCCCATCACTCTCCTTATCTTCATCAGCATCGTCATCTTCATCTTCATCTTCACTTTCTTCTCCCTCGTTGGTGGCTGCTTTCAAATTATCCGTTGTGGCAGGGGTTGGCTCGGGCTTCGGTGCTGGCGGTTTTGTGCTGCTTGTCTTGTCGGAGCTTCGTTCATCCAACTGCTTTTGCAAAGCGCGATTCTTTGCAACCAATTGGTTAAGCAACACTGACACCTCCTCCTTTGGGGCCGACTCCGCAATCACTTGCGAAGCAGACTCATCCAGCCTTATGTGGAATACAGGAAAAGGGATCGTTGGTTGAATTGAGCATACATGGTTTTATAGTGCCAGCAAGCAGCTCCTCAAGCAAATCACGTAGTTCGTCATCGGCTACAGAAACTTTGGGAGGCGTAGCCTGTCGACCAGCATTGGCCATCTTGTCGGTAAGCTTGCAACCTCGAAGAAGGGTTCTGCAGGACCTGGGCGATATTTTATGGGTTAAATCGATAGGTATATAAGTTACAAACGAATATGTTCTACATATACAGCTAGGCAGCTTCAAGGAATCCATTCGTGAAAGCTTGAAAGATTCTTTGGGTTCGGAGCTCAGTTCTTCGAACTTCTTCACCAGATTCGTCCTGCAAGGAGTGGCCTTAGTAGGATCACAGTTCTATATCTAAACAAACAGAAACACTTATTGGAGACTGCGAAAACATTTAATGCAGACTGATGACAGATGACACAGAGGTACGTTCCGGTTGCTCCACCTCCTTTTCCTTCGGGGTCTTACCAGGGAGGACCTCGGTTTCCCTATCTTCCTCATGCTCTTCCTCCTCCTCTCCCTGCTCCTCCAACTCCTCGCCATCTACACCTTCATCATCCTCTGGGGCTTCCTCTTCTTGTTCCTCTCCCTTCTCCTCAAGGGTGGGATCCTCTAGGATGGGACCCGGGTGCCTCTCATCAGCACAGATATCGGCTGGACATGGGCCCAGTATCTCTGTAAGCCCCAGCTTGACACCATCGGGCGTCTCGTGCGGGTGCAGCTTCATGACTGCCTCCACAACCTTGTCGACGTTCTTCCAGCTCACCATGATGCCCAGCTCACTGTCATAGAACTCTTCTACGGCCAGAGCATCATAATCAGAATCCTTGTCATCGGGGTCCTGCTTACCCTGAGCGTTACCCTTGGGCTTCTTATCGCCAGCAGTCTTGCCTGGTTTTTGCTTCTTTGTGGGCTTCTCGGTGGTCTTCTCTACCTTTCCTTTCTCTGTTGGCTTCTCTTCCTCGGTCGGGGCTGCGGTCTCTACCTTTCCTTTCTTTGGTGGCTTCTCTTCCTCGGTGGGGGCTGCGGTCTTCTCTACCTTTCCTTTCTTTGTTGGCTTCTCTTCCTCGGTGGGGGCTGCGGTCTTCTCTACCTTTCCTTTCTTTGTTGGCTTCTCTTCCTCGGTGGTGGCTGCGGTCTTGGTCTTTCCTTTCTTTGCTGGCTTCTCTTCCTCGGTGGGGGCTGCGGGCTTGTCTTGCACTTGTTCTGCTGCATTGTTCTCCTTTGTCTTCTTGGCGGGCTTCTTCTCCTCCTCGGGTGGGGCTTCTGTCGACTTACCTGCCTTGGTTTTCTTTGCTGGCTTCTCCTCCTCGGGTTGAGCTGCAGTTCGTGCTTTCTTTGCTGGTTGTTCTTCCTCGGCTGTGGGCTCCTTCCTTGGGCGGCCTGGCTTTCTCTTCGGTGGAGGGGCGGGCTTCTCGGTTGCTGCCTTTAAGCTTCCGTTGGCTTGAAGCTGCTTTAGCACTTCCGCATACTGAGCCTTGTGATCATCCGTGACTTTGGCCTTTGGTGGCATATTGCCGATAGGCCGCAGAAAATCTAGCTTTCAAAGCTTGATCCTGAATATTCCGATTGGATGCGCATAAATCGTGTGATTTCACGTTGATCGAGATGATGAGCCTCTATAAATCTAGGAAACGTGAATCACAGAATTCACGGCGCTAGGTGGTCAAGTAACAACTTTTCACGTGCAAGTAACGCATTTTCACGCGTGATTGCGTGAATGTGATTTCACGACATGTAGGAAGATTTAACGACATTTAGCAAGTTGTGAAAGATAATGCTTGAATTTAGACCATATATAACATGACATGCGGTTTCACAGATTTGTGTGATTTCAAACTGTTTTAAAGAAGCACACTCACGAAGCTTCATTTTGCACTCCGGAACTGTCCCCCAGAATCCATCAGCCTGCCTTTGCTTTAAAGGCAGGGACCCGGATATCTCTCGATCAGATATCAAGTTCAAAAGCCATCAGAGCAGGCCCATCTTCTGAAGCGTAACATCCTAAGCTGAAGCAATCATGTGAAAACATTGCCGGGGTACTCTTAAAGAGAGAGACAAAGCTCGGTTTCTAGAGATATAGAGAGGGATCGAGAGAGAGAGAGAGAGATCGAGAGAGATTGCGAAATCGAACCAGACCAACGTGAAAGCCTTAAACTCCTCCCCGGCCAGGTTTCCCATTGCCCTGGAGGCTGCACATGCTTGGCATTGAGGTAGCCGATAATATTGGGCATTTCAGCCTGGGCTTCGGACTTCATTATGATTTTTTCGGTTACGACATAATCAAGGACACTTATAAATTCAGGTTAGTTGCATCATCCCAAATATCCCCTTCGAGCCACCCATTGGCATCGCATGTGCAGTGCACCACGAAAAGTTCATGGTCTGTCATAGACCGGTCGATAGCAGGGACGGTCTTCGCGTGAAGGGCTGCATTGAAGGGCTCCTGTTTACATCGATATATAGGCGTTACATAGGTTTTGAAGGTGTTAATTCATTAGACATAGCATGCAAAAGGTACTTTATCCTAGCTATATACCGAACCCCGCAAAGCCGTGAAGCATAAAACTCAAAACGTGAAGCATACAATTGCTACCCCGGCACCAAACATGCAGCCCTCTTTATATATATATATATATATATATAGGGTATATGTAGGTATACACATTGTATTTTATCAGGGGTGTAGCTTTATAGTAGATCTTCGGGTGCTCTAGTTACGGTGTTGTACATGGGCTTTACATAGCTATATATACTTTAAAACTTAATCCCTACGAAATGTCTGACCAAAGAAACCCCTCACCCCAAAGACCCGAATCCCCACCCATATAAACTTGAAACCCAAAACCCCGAAATCTCAAGGTCCCATGCATGATCCCTATTGATTTCACACCCAAACCCTAAAATCCTAAACCTGAGGTTTTATGGGTAGTATACTCGGAGCTTGAATGAAACCCAAGACCCATAGCCCTAATCCCTAGTCTCCCGAAACCTTCAGCCTTCAGAGCCGAAACTTGGAATCTAGCTCCCCGGATATGTAGAGAACACATGCACAACCCTCTAACTATAATGTTGAACAAACCTTATTTTGGGAATATATATCTCTCTATATTTATATTATTTGATATTATATATTATGTTCGACCATACCTATATATTAGAGTTAAGTGGGCATCCAAATCTACCCGGAACCCTGATCCAATATGTAGGTTAAAGATGCACAGTACGTGGACGTGCACTTGCACTGGACTTACCGGCACCTGTGCCCATCAGCCAGCAACCACTACAGCAATGGCACCGGGTCTGAAAAAGAATTGGCGACAGCCCAGCTCGACCCGTTACAAAATCAGCGGCGCAAGCGGATCGAAGCGCGTCAGCATATGAAGGAGATCGCAGATTACAGAGCGTTCAAAGCGGCGCGTCCGCGCTTCATGCGTTGGCCGTCCGAGCCATCGACGCACACGTGCAGGACAAGTGCAAGATCGCAGTCCCTGGAGTTTGGATTTTGGGACGATCGAGTCGCCATCACCCTGGATCCGCGATTAAGCTTCCTACATGCGGATAATTTGGAATTCACGGCTTCCGACATCCAGCTGCAAGATCATCCATTCAAGCTAGCTGCTACAATCCTTTGATAACTATATTATAGTTCATTTTTAAACCCCAGGAAGCACCCCTATTAAAACTTTGAAACACCCCGCATTATATATACTAAATTTTTGTATACTATATATATATATATACGATCGAGCGTTAACGGTACTGATCCTGAACAATGTAATATATTAAGGTGCCATATATATATATATATATATATATATTTGTTTATTAATTATATTTTAAATAATATCAATTATTATAATAATAGTGCGGCAATATAATACGTATGCCAGTGATATATACTTCGAATTCTCAGTCTAAATGATCCGACGAAAAGCTGCAAAATATGAGATACCGAGTAGCACGGAACTAGGGTCTGAAAACCCTAACCCCAATATTAATCATATATAAATACCCTATATATATGTATATAACCCGGCCTTAATTAAACCCTAAACCCGAAAACCCTATATATATAAGACCCTAATTTAACCACCCTAAGCCCTAATATATGTTAAGGCCCGGTCAACCGCTCGGTCTGTGAATCCTACATGCTGGGCAGGTCGCCCCACGTACAGCCCGCTGGATGCTGATCGAGGTGCAGAAACAGCAAAGGTTTAGTGATATATAGGTTTGGGGAAATATGTTAGGTGATCCATATATATATATATATATATATTGCGGGTATATATATATATATAAATATTTATATTTATATTTATTTATATATATATATATGCTGGTTTGTAAATCTTATATAAGCTAAATTCGCTTATATAAGATTTACAAACCAGCATATATATATATATGCGTATACATATCATATATGTATTTAATTATATATTGTATATATATGTATATATCTAATATAAGCGGGAACACTACTACATGGTTCATGCCTTTGGGGATCTGGGTTCGTGAACGATTTGGGATTAAGGAAATTGGGTTCACGTATAATAATTGTACTAGTTGCGGCCGGTTTGCTAGGATATTTGGGACGGTTCTTCGAGACTTTAGCCTGAATACAAGCCATTTGGGATTTAGGCTTGCAGGATTTGGGCAGGGCTCATAATTATGAGGCTACGATCCATAATTTCAACAGTCACTGTCGAAATGCATGAGGCCTATCGATCTTGATTTATGCTTACTTAATTGGGTTACCACATAATATCGAGCGGCAGGAACCCCAAAAGCAAAGTCTATGATATATGATCTATATATATACCTATTTCTCAAGCGTATTATAATCGAGCACCCGAATTTGAATGGTTAACTTCCTGTACTAGATGAATTATTAATAGATCGAGACAAAAACCGTATTCTAGCCTAAATTCGTACCATAACTATATTGTAGTATACATAATTTATATGCCCAAGTCGTCCTGCATCACATCGACGAAATACTTCGCCAGGAAGTCTCCGAACTCTTTGGTGTACTCCCTCGGCGAAGGCGGGTTCAAATGCACTGTATATACATATATATCGGGCTTTCAGGGCTCCATGCGAAGGAATTAGAATTAATCGAGCGGCTGGGACTTTTGGAGCGCTTTGGGCTTGCCCGTGTGGCGCTTCACACCATGGATGTCGACAAAATGCACAGCCGTCTTCTGCATAAACTGACCCATTTCCTCCCTCGACATGAAGCCCGCCTTCTCCGTGATCGTATCAATCAAATCCTTGCAATTCGACCAAAGTCTGTGCCTCTTAGGCGTCGGGCCATTGAAGTGGCCCATGTAGAAGGCTCCATCCCATATCTGAGCAGGCGTGGTAGACTAGCTGATATACATGTATCAGTTTACTGCATAAACCTGGGGAAACATATATGCTGCACTGCTGTCCACCTCGAAAGTCCGGAATAAGTCTTGGAATCGCGGCATCTCGGGAAGAAAGCTTCCATCCGGTTGTTCAATGACCCAGCGGAGCCCCAACCATTGTGCTAGGTAAACCAGCAATGCTGTACGGCTCGAAAGGATATTTCCCTGGATCACGAACTCGTGGGATTGGTTGCCCAAGGGTTTGAACACGTTGCGACCCGTTGTACCTCGAGACCTTAATATATGTGCTGATACGCAATTAGTACACACACACGCACATAGCTTAAGTTATTGGAGTCGGGTAGCATACGGCTGAAGCTTCGGCAATCCAATGCCATCACAACCAGTGCTCCAGGCTTGCAGCGCATCATTTCCAGTATTGCCAAACTTAGGTCAAACAAAAATAGATATCCCTGGGTCCTACATAACGAAACATGCGACGAAGAAATTCTGCAACCAAATCTCGCAAATCCGGCCGGCGTGAGCAGGTCCATTAGCACCTGATCATTCACGATATCCACAGAAGCTCCACGAAGGCGCGCCTGGGATCGAGGATGGATTGGTTATTTAATTGGGATTTACTTAAGTATATATGTGTATATATATATGCTTGGCGGGATACCCTTCGAAGAGCCGCAGATAACTCGCCACGACCAGCGAAGAGCTCCAGGAATTCTCGGTCCTACATATGTACAGGATAGTTCTGGGTCCATCTGTAAGCTGAGGTTTGAAACCAATCGTGGGGCTGCTATATTTGTAACTATTTATGTATTGGTGTCCTTGCTCTTCGGGATCTGCTCGTTGAACAGCAGCAGCAAGACTGCAAGTATAAGGCAGGACGGGGCGTTCACCATCAAGAGCTCAGCAACGACCATTGTAAAAGACTTATACCCGGGCTTACCCTTAGATCTCGACCCAGCTCTAGGCACAAAATTCTGCAGTCGAATGCGTCTGTTGAATATACTCGCACATGGCCGACCGCATCCATGATCACGATAGCGGACTAGAGTTTTTTCCCTCAGCGTGCAATATGTCCCACCGGGGTCTGCATGAATTGCATGCTGGCATGCTATGGATAAACGCACAGCAGCACAGTAAGGGCCTTTTCAAAGGCACTAGGCGCCACACAAAGCAGCATTGCGAGCGAAAGGATTCTGATCACATCCCTTAGGGACGAATTTCCGTCTTTTAAGCTCGTTGAGCGGAACATCTGCCAGAATCGATGCTCGTTCTTCGCTCTCCATCCACATTCGGAGGGCCTCTTTCGGACTATGGCCGTCAGCCTTAGCCCTGTCCCTAAATTCCTTTCCCTTCTTGCAGAAGTCTTTCGGCAAGTAATCACCATAGTGATGGTCAGGAGCTTCGGGATCGCTAGCGGCCTTTTCGGGCTTCTTGCTCGTGGGATTCTTAGCTTTACGCTTTGCTTCCTTGTTCACGATCTCCACTTTGAAGCGATATCCAGCTGGCTGCTTCGGGGGGGTGCACATCGACTTATCCTCAACAGCATCTTTCAGCTCAGAGGCGGAGGCCACATTGGCCTCTTCATCGCATTCATCATCATCATCATCATCATCAGCACAGTCCTTCATTGCCTTCGCATACTGCTCGGTGATGAGCGGAACTGGTGCAGGTGCCAGGGCCGAAGGCAAGCGATCCAAAACCTGGGCCCATACAAAACAAAGATGCTGAGGATCATTGTAAATTCGATTCAGAATCCGAAGACTAAAATCTCAATTGAAATATGATCAAGCAACATAGCTCGGAATCACCTTGGAGCTAGGAATTGTCAACTCGTGCCCCGGTCTTCTCGCGGGACTGAACTTGTACCCCATGTTCGGTGATGATCCGGATGATTTCTCTGATGCTTGATCCTGATCCTTCTTGAAGAGCCTAATATCCGCAATCTGAGCACAAAGGCGACCCATCATGGAATCCCTGCTTGACAGGCTGGCGTGGGATGAGATGGAAGACACATTCGAGGACAAGGTCTCGCCCTCATCAGACGACTCTTCATCGGAGCTGTCTTTGACATCCGAAGTGTCTTTCTCAGATCTTTCCTTAATTAGGCAGGTAGGCTTAAGGGTTGCAGTTAACTACTTTTTCCCAGGACTAGAGCGAAACCATATAATGCAGATCGAGTCTCCAGGCCTTTGATTGCAAGTTTGTCGATTCTTTCTCGAAGAAGGTTCAGTTTCTTCAGCTTGCTGGAATTTGCACGTTTCAGAAGGCGACGGGTCCTGCCAACCTCAGCTATATAGGCATTATATATAGAAGCAGCATACATAGAATGGACTCGTCATATTTATTGGGCAGCTGAGTAGCCATGCGTTTGATTGCATCACCCATTCGAAGGCCCCAATCCTGAATACACTCCATAGCAGAAGTAATCCCACGTGGCCATAATTTCTTGTCGTCGTAGAACTTCAAGATCGCTTCGCGAATTACGTAGGAGCTGGATCGCGAATCTTTCATCACAGAAATCGTGGCATAGATCACCTCAATATTCGGATTTAACATCCTTTATGTGAGCATGAAACCTTATTCGGGGAAGGATCGTAAGTGCATGCCACATAGCATCAGCGTTCCTGCAAAGGTCCTTGAGGGTACACTTCTTTCCTTTGAAGAGCTTGCCGGAGTGATCGATGACGAAGGAAAATCCCACCTTGGATACTAATTAGGTTAGATGTAAAGATCAAACATACTGTCTATATATATATACATATGAACCATATATACTGTAATATTTCTACCCGGGTAGCTTCATGAAGCTGTGGCTGCTTCGCATAAGCAGCAGAGAGCTGCTGCACGATCTCGGGGTTGATTTTGGTCGGCATCGGATCGAGATCTACACAGCTTGAATAAACATTTCTCGGGAATATGAAATGCTCAGAGTTCGACGTGGGCATGCGCATGCCGCTCCCCCTGTCCCAAAACCTGAAATCCCGAATATCTCTAATTGTGCAGTTCTGCATCCACGCATATCTGAAATATGTGTCCGCCATTGAATCTAGCCGTGAACCTCCTAATGTATTTATATATAGGGGCCAGATATAGTGTGGGCAGACCCATAGTACATCGATATTATCCATAATGCAACATGAACCTGTAGCTACGAATAGCTTACTAATATTACAATTATACGACAGCTGCACGGCGGCAGGGTCCGACCTCCAAACCACTGAGCATCATCGTCGCGAAGACCACGTAGTCGAGCCTGGCACTTAAGCTTATATGCTCGATATTATATGTATAGATATTTAAAATTGAAATACCCCAATCGATCGATGAACGTATCTGATCCGAAACCCTCGGGATTCCGTGAAACCAAGCCGGTCGCACCATATCGTCTTCAGGCCGCTATCATCATCTCTGGCCGTACCTGCACATGGAGGATCGCAGCGGGCAAGGGTTTGAGTTCGGATCTCGAAGCTTTAAATTGGCGATTTGATGTAATTAGCTAGGCCATCGATCGTCGAAACCTCCGAGAGACAACCCCTGAATTCCAGCAATATAAACCACATTCCCATCCTCCCATGCTGGGGCACCTCGTCCAGATCGCAGGATCGATTGTGACGACCATCGACGTCACAGCAACGACATCTACATCCTCAAGCCTCTCTTAATAAATATACGTATATATATATATATATATATATACATATGTATATATGTATGTATATATGTATATATGTATATATATATATATATATAAACATATGTATATACATATATAGGTATATATTGCTAGCAGTACAATTATAATGTGTCCACATGTTCATATGAACATGTGGTCACATTATAATTGTACTGCAAGAGATGTGTGTATATATATATATAACATATGATATGTATAATATATAATATATAATATATAATATATATATGTATATCTATACACATGCATACATCCACATATCATGTATGAATGAGGATATATGTGTATGTAAGTTATATGCAGGCATATACATACATCCATGCATGCACACGTGTAGCCTTAACTGTCTATCCATCCTACATATATATATATATACATAGCATATATATGCTATATATATATATATATGATAATATAGACTCTATGACAGTATGTAGGACAGTATATGATGGACATATATATATATATATATATATATATATATATTTATGTTGGTATATATATATATGTGGCTATATATATATGTATGTTCTATATATATATAATATAATACAATATATAATATATACTATAATATAAAATATAATATATATATATATATATAAAGGATATGCAGGGTTAAAGGTTCAGGGGTTTAGGAATATAGAACTTTAAACTTTGGACATTAGGGTTTGGGGCTTTAATCTAGGGTTGAGAGCTATATACAGCACCCTCCATAATGTCGAGTGTCACACGGTTCATATGCTGCCTTTTGCTATCGTTCACCATATCTTGAAACGTATTCTGAAGATTTCATTTAGTATTATCCTATACGTGATCTGAGCACAGAACATCAAACTGCCAGCATTGAGCCACTGGTCTGCGCCGGCTGCGGCCTTGCCAGCACTTCCTGTAAGATTAATGGGTTCGGGTTCCGGAGCTTTCGGATTCAATACGTTTGGGTTATATATGGGAAAGTTAAGGCATTTAGGGTTTTTCGATCAGACTCAGCGCTTCAGCGTTCTTTAAGTACAAATAATACAGCGTGAATTTTCACACTGGTTTGTTTTCACGTGAATTTTGGGTTTTTTTAAGGTCATATGAACTTTAATAGCCATAGGAACTTTTCACGTTCATATGGCCTTGCGCCCTGCGGACACCTAAGGGGAGGTTAAACGGACCCCCAGGTAGGTTGTGGCACGGCGGTCCCAGCGAGTGGAGGTGGTGCCCGACTGAGACAGGGCTCAATTGGCGGGTTATCAGTAACCGCCAGCCACCGATGAAGCTCGCGCCGGTCGGCGAGCACCGGGGAGGCGTCCAAGGAATGGGGCGCCTCCGAAGCCTCGCCACCCCTGTCAGTCCCCCTTGGCGGGGGGGCTGTCGGGGAACCCCCCATCCAGCCTCCCTCGCGGGGGGCTATCGGGGAACGGAATGCTGCCCGTTTTTTTGCAGCATCTGCCGCCCCCAGTCGGGGCGTCTGGGGAACGAAATGCTGCCCTTTTTTTTGCAGCTCTCGGCCCCAAAGCACCAAGGTCGGAAATCCGACCTTGCCTCCAACCTCGTTCGTCCGCCGAGACCGCCGACTCCCCGCCCTAGAAAACTCACACCATGTCCAGTTGGGCACAGCAGCGAGAAGCCATCCGCCGAGCGGCCCAGGGCGGCGTCAGAGCGAGGACGAACGCCCAGGGCTCGCAGCGGCTCCCCCTCGCCAACAACCGCCTCCGCGAGGTCCTTTTGTCTCGCCCCAACGGCGAGCTCACCAGGGCGGGCCAGTTCTACTACGGCCTGGTGGGAGGCCGCCCCCCCTCCAGGCAGTTCGACGAAGAGCAGCCCCTCATCCGCGAGGGCCCCACGGACTACATCCTCCTCCGCTCCGGGCTGAAGAAGCCCGTGCGCTCCCTGCAGCCCGACGGCAACTACCACCTCACCAAGCTGGGCAGGGCCTTCTTCCGCGAGAAGTACACGGACTGGCTGGCCCACGTCCCCGTGCGCATCACCGGCACCCGTCAAAGGGGGCGCAACGCCGGCCGGCCCTACCAGCGCGACGACTTCCTCCCCATCACCGTGGTCAACGGCTCCCTGTCCCGGCAGTCCAGCGGCCTCAGCGACCAGCAGGCCCACGCCCGCGTCAAGGAGGCCGCCCTCCGCCAGCTCGGCGGCCCCAACGACGGGGATCCTATCCTGGAGCTCTCCCAGGAGGTGTACCGCTACGACGCCACCCGGGACTGGGCCTTCTCCAAGCAAACCTTGGAGGTGGTCGACAACAGGGCCCAGGTGCAGGTCTCGTTGCGGCAGCCCATGGGCGCCTACCACGAAATCAGCTACCAGCTCTATAACGGCTCCGAGATCCTGCCCAGCGCCTTCGAGACCCGGAACGACAAGCTCTGCGTGGCCAGGCAGCTCGCCGAGCTGCTGCAGCTCCCCCTGCCCGAGGTCCTGAGTGACTTCGACGCCATCTGCGACAAGGGCTGGGAGCAGCGGGGCATCACCGCCCTGGAGATCCGGGAGTTCTGCGCCTGGCGCGGCGCTCCCATGTTCTTCGTGAGCTGCCGCGGCGAGCTCCTGGACGCCTACCAGCCTCCCGTCAAGGAGAACAAGGCCGTGGCCTTCACGTGCTACCAGGCCCACGCCTACTTCTACAAGTCGGCCCGGGCGGTCTCCCACTGCGACGACGCCCCAGGCAACGAGGGCCTCTACCGCGGCACACGGAAGGAGTCCACGGTGCCGCCCTTCTCGGAGTGGCGCCCCTGGGCCGGTCGGGCCACTTCTGGGCCGAGGACCTCCGCCAGGTCCGCGCCGCGCTCCTGGCGCAAGGGCACCAGCCCAAGGTCACCATGCGCTCCTTGTGCGACTGGCGGGCCCTGCGCCTCCGCGTCAAGGACAGCCCCGACTGCGTCGTCACGCAGCAAGCCGAGGACGCCGAGGTCCTCCAGTCCTGGATGCAGAAGCTGGGCCTGGAGTACCGCGGGCAGCGCCTGGCCGGCGCCGCGACGGAGGCCTTCCAGCACCTTCTGAAGGCCAAGCGCCTGGACCCCCGCATCCTCGAGGAGCAAAACTACCTGTGCAAGCTCTGCTCCGCTCCCATCGAGCTGGGCTCCTGCGAGCTCGACCACGTCGTCCCGGTGCACCAGGCCCTGGAGGGCCAGGCCCAACTCCTGCAGGCCTTGTGCCCGGAGTGCCACCGAAACAAGACCCTCCTGGAGTCCTCCCGCGCCGCGTGCCTGGAGAGCCGGGTGTGCCGAAGCGTCCACGAGGCCTACGTGCAGAGCCCGCGCCCGCCGGCGCTGGTCTGCAAGCTGGCCAAGTGCGATCCCGACCGGATCTGCCACGGCGTGGACGTCGTGCGCTGCCGCAAGAACGCCCTGGCCAACGCCACCTTCCCCCTGCCCGTCTTCAGCCCTCTGGATTCCATAGAGCCCTCAAGGGACGGGCACCTGGCGGATCTCACCTACGTGGACCTGTTTAGAGACGACCGGCAGTCCCTGCTCCCAAAGCTCCCCTACCTGGGCCGTGGCTGGTACAGCAAGCCCGCGGCGGCGTACCTGCTGGACACCAAGCAGGCGACCTGGGCCGACTTCAAGTGGTCCCTGGACGCCACGGCGCACGTGGAGCCCCGCTGCCTGGCGCAGGCCCTGCAAACCATGGAGGACGCCTGGCCGGAGAGCGAGGAGCACATGGCCAAGCTCTCGGTGAACGCGCTCATCGGATTGTGGGCCCGCAACCAGGAGCTGATCTACTCCATGCGCACGTCGAACCACGAGCTGGACGGCCAGGGCTGCCAATGGCGCCAGACCTTCACGGACGCCGCCGGCAAGGTGCACTGGGACCACATCTACGC